CCCCCCCCCCCCTCAAGGCAACTGAAGACAAGGAGACAAGTGTATCGAAACAAACACCTTCTACGCTATAGTGAAGTGAACAGTGACTTATTTCTTGGTTGCACGACCACACCCGAAAAAAGATCCGTCAGAGCACGGATGGTGAAAGCAGATGATACAAATTTGAGACCAGTGTGTCGTTTTACTTTGTCCTGATATCTGGAAATGTTCAGAATGGTCTACAGTAAAATTCTGCTCATTTCGTCAAATCTAAAAGAGATTTGCGCAGACGGATCCACAACGCCTCTTCTCATATTTTCTTAATGTATCATCTGCTAAAAATGTGTTCTTAAATTCAAGAACACAGTTTATTGGGTGTGAGAATCAAACGTAGTTTTCCCCTCGTGGCAGGGTGATAGTTGTCTGAACCATACCAGGTGGCTGGTTAACCCCACGCTTTTCTGCAGTTATACTGTACCGCACGCAGGCGTGCTGGTGGGCTAGCCTCTCATCTTACCCCGGCGCCTTATGGGCCGAGCGCGTATGCATGCATGCGATACAGTGTAACTACAGAAGTGCGTGGGCTTGATCAGCCACCTGGTATTACCTGGTATGTTTTAAGGCGGTCTCTGACGCACGATTGTTTCCGTAGCTTATCATTTTCTGGGCGTGCTCTGGTTGGTGTGCGTGCAGATGATCCTGGCGGTGCTGCTGGCCGCGCTGGTGGCCGCGGAGGGCGCCGTGACGCCGTCGACGCCCTTCTCGACGACGGCCGTGAACCGCGGCCGCGGCTCGAGGCGGGCCTTCATCGGGCGCGGCGGCGGCCGGCCGCGGGGCAGCCCCGCGCCCTCCGCGGTGGCGCTGGCCTCGCAGTCGACGCCCCGCAACCTGCAGCAACACCTGCAGCAGCAGCAGCCGACGTTTGCGCCGCTCCAGCCAACCTTCGCGCCCCCGCAGCCCAGCTTCTCCCCGGCCACCTTCTCGCCGACGCCCTCCACCTTCGCCCCGACCTTCGCCCCGACCTTCGCGCAGCAGACGCCTCTCCGCGTGTCGCGGCCGACGCCGACGCCTCCGGGTGGGCTGGCTCCGCTGGCGCACGACGTGGTGGTCACCCCCCGCCGCTCCGGCAGCGCCCTGGGCTTCAGCCCCCACGCCGCGCCCTTCACCGCGCCGCTGTCAACCAACAAGGGCCCCAGGCCCAGGGCCACGCCCGTGCCCATCGTCGCCCTCAAGTTCAACCTCCGCGATGACGGCAGCTACTCCACCAGGTTCGTACATCAGAAAGACAAAGTCCACTGCCCTTCCGATTACACTGGAAAAACAAAGGCACTAAACAACACATTTCCTGGTGCACTTGGTGCACTAAAGTCAAGGGCGCATCTTAGTGCCTTTCCTGGGGCACTCAAGTTTCATGCCTTTCCAAAGGCACTAAACTTGAATGGAACTCATATGTAGCTGTAGGTGTGAAAGGTCACATTTAGTGCCTTTCCAAAGGCACTAAACTTTGTTAGTGCCTTTTAAAGCTAGGGATTCGCACCTTTGTTTTACCAGTGTATACTTTTCGCAACCGAATTAACAACCCGGACTTTGCCTCCTCCTCAGCTCCGAGACCGGCGACGGCACGGTGCGCCAGGAGCACGGCCAGTTCAACGGCGCCGGCATGGCCGTCCAGGGCATGTACGCCTACCAGGACCACGAGGCGGGCCCCGTGCAGGTAGGCAGCCCATCCGACGGCGCCGCGCCGCGGGCCCGCGCGCCCAGCCCGCAGAGCCCTGCAACGAGCGAGATCGAGTGCCTTACAGTACTACATGGCGCCCGAAAGCGGCAGTGAAAGTGAAAAGCTAGCGCCGGGCCATAGCTATCCCTCTCACTCCCATTCGCTTTCGGACGCCATGTAGGTGTGCAGGGCTCTGGTGGCCCGTGTCCAAGCGATGTCATTAAATGTGGCCCAGTCTGGTAGCAAGGTTAACGCCGTTTAATGTCGAAAAGACATCACATACCGTACTTAACTTGGACCCGGGTGACCTCTGGCCCCGCTCTCTTTAGTAAAAATTACAGGCGAGATTGCGTCAAAAAGATATCGGAACGACGTCGATTACGCCTTTTCGACGTTGGTCCAAGACCGTATTGATAGGTTACATCGCCGTTTCTTACCATTTTCGACCTGCAGGTCAACTATGTCGCGGACGAGTACGGCTTCCAGCCCCAGGGCCCCAACATCCACCCCGCCATCATGATGGCCGTGGCCGAGCAGGTGAACGCGGCGCGCTCCGCCAAGTCCCGCAAGGGCGCGGCGGGCCTCAACGGGCTCCGGGACGACGGCGACCTCGACTACGACGACGACAACGGCGCGGGGACGTCCCCGGCGCCCATCAAGTACAGGAAGGCGCCGAGCCGCACCGTGCGGAGGGTTGTGGTGCGGAGGCTGTAGCCGAGCCGACCTCAGTATATAGCCAACACTGTGATGTTATTATTGTAATTTATTTGTATTATTATTATTACGTTTTGTCGAACAAACTAGGCTATTTGAATTTCCGGGAGACTCGGGGAGGATTGGGGAGCAAGCACTTCTCCGGGACTAGTATTTTCTGTTTCAACGCCCGGACCTGTGCTTGAACTCTCCAATCGCTCGCGTCCAATTTACGAGTAAGAAAATAAATAAAAATTAACAGGCCAACAACTGGTCGGTTAACAGACAGTCCAGCTATAGTGTCACTGTCACTGGATCACCATAAGTCACTTACACGGTGCGCGCGCGCGCCTTTATCAAAAGCGAAACCTGCCGGTTTGCAATACGGGTTATACGTACTCGCTGTACGTAGATGGTTCGGCGGGAAAGGGGGAAGAGGGGGAAGACCCCAGGCCCTGGTGGCCGCCGTCTTCTCGCTTGCACACGCAGGGGGCTTCCCGATGTGCAGACTCCCTGGGAAAGAGGGGTGGGGGGTACTTCTATCATAGATCCCTCCACATATTTGTAAGTGAATAAGTTGTAGCACAAGCCACCCTGGAACGCTACCCCTACCACATGCTACCATTAAAGAGCACTCTGAGGCTCTTTAGCTACCACCACAAAACCTCGGTTATTTAACTATATCGCAACAGCAGTTGGAGCTTTACTGGAACAAGTGAACCTCAGGGCTCGTGCAAGTGAACCTTGGTACTTATCACGTCCAATGCGGCGGTGCATTCTCTGGGTATGAAAAACTAGCAAAGTGGGACCACATTGTGGTCACGCCGCTCTGAACGTGTTAACAAGGTACTAAGTCATACTTGTTTCTAGTAATATTTTTCGTGTGCACACATAAGTACGTAAAGTATCTGCCCGCGGAATACGAGAGGGGGGGGGGGGACTCCGCCTCTATGAACGGTATTTCCACACCCAAAATCCGCCCCTGCCCAGGCCGCGGTTGGCGGCGGGCGGGTGGCCCACAAATGACAGCACACCCAGTGTAGTGTATGGCTGGAGGGAGATCGACAACATGACTCTCTGACTGACTGTTCACAACTGATATTTATTCTCAGATCGACAGAGTACGTACACAGACGGCCGCCAGGTGGCAGCACATACGAACACTACACCCAGCAGCACAGCCTAGCCTCCCGCCCATGCCTGCGACTGAGATCTGGACCTGACGGCGACGGCCACGCTGACGGACCTGACGGTCAGTCTGAGCCGGCCGCTCGAGCTAGAAGGACCGGCACAGAAGCAGCGCGAAGCGACCCCAAGTGGACATATCGTCTGAGTTAGAGGCCAAGCAAAGCATCATGGACTGCGACATGTGCTTCGAGGAGTTCGACCTGGTGAAGCGCACCCCCAAGGTGGTCCCGTGCGGACACACCGTGTGCCTGCAGTGCCTCAGGCGCAGCACCAGGAAGGAGTGCCCGACGTGCCGCACGGTAAGTCATTGGTGGACGAGATGACCAGGTTTGGACCGATTCTGCCGTGTCATGTGTCAGCAGGGCTACGTCACACTGTTGTATCGCGGCCCTGACACGCGGATGTGTACCGGTCCATACCATGGCAGATGGAGGACTTGGCTCTAAGAAGAGTGGGATGGATGGATCGGCCAGGAACATGACAAAACGGCATTTTGTTTTGGTTTTGAGCTGTGATTGGTCGAGAGCAGATGACCACAGGCCCACACAAGTGCCGGTTTGTTGTGTTCCTGGCCGATCTTCCTGCTCTTCTTCTGTAGTGTAAAGTTCAACATCGGATACGGTTTCGACTGCTCTCTGTTATCGGCATGCCTGTTAGTTCTAAACGACTCGAGGAGGAACGGCGGCTCGTGTGCGCTCTAGTTCGCACACGCGACTTTCCTAAGTTGAAGGCTTTACTATCGCTAAGTTTCGCTGTTCTTATTTCCAGGGGTTCGATGCCTCCCCAGCGTCGCTGCCCGACAACTTCGCCGTGCTGCGTCTGCTGGAGCGTGAGGCCGAGGACGCCAGGTGAGCATCAGATCGGTATACAGTACAGAGTGGTGGTCCTGCAAAACGTCAACAAGTCCCTGACGACCAACGTCTCTCTGTAGCAGCAGCGGCGGGCTGTGCGTGCGCTGCAGCGCCGTCGCCCGGGACCGGTGCTGGAGCGAGCACACGGTCTTCATCGTCGAGCCGGCGCTGGCGCGGTACCTGGAGGAGGCGCAGGAGAGGGCCGACAGGCTCGAGTGGCCGAGGCTGCGAGTGGTCGAGATCCTGGACGCCCTGATCGACGACGTGCGGGTGCGGCCCCCCCGGGACCCGCGCGCGGACGCGGGGCGTGGAGCCGGCCGCGGCCACTTCAAGCCCGAGCAGATAGAGACGGCCCTGCAGGACTGGCGACGGCATGTGAGTGCTCGGCGAGGTGTCTGGACACCCTGGACGAGACGCCCGTGTCATCAACTACTCTCTCTCTCTGCCGCAGATGTTTGACGTGAAGTGGGCCGCGCAGCCCCTCTGGAGCCTCCGCCCGCGCCCGCTCTGGGGCGAGGGTAGGGCGCCCGAGTCTCGATATGGATGGCCGGTATACACCGACGATGGACCTCCAGCGCCTCCAGTTTTCTAAATCGAGGGTACCGCCTCGCTACAGGGTATTTGCACCAGAAAAAAATGGGGGGGGG